CCCTCGTGGCGACGGTCGTCGCCGCCCTCTATTGACTTTAAAAATACAGAGTATTTTCGTTGAATACAGTGTGTTCGTCTGGCGTTGAAACCCATGTCGGAGAGTGCTAGCGTAATAAGATCAAGGGTATATAGATCTGGCCAACTAAACTACATTGTACCTGGACGGCCGGGGATTTTACGGTACACTTTGCACACTTGGTCTTGTGTCCGATTGGTTTTCTACTCGTCATCGTACAGGCAGTAGATTAGTCGTTGCTTCTTGGTGGCGACTTGACGCAGCTTGGACTAAAGGCGGTCCTGGGAATAGCTGTTGACCTCTGAGGTCATTTTTGTCCTTGGTGATATCCAGGGCACAATTAGGTTCCAGCGAAAACCTTTTTCAAGTGGCTGCGGAGCCATTCCTGGCCAACACCTTCACCGATAGCACGCTGGATCCGATCACGAAATCCCCGGCTGCTCATGTCGTTTTAAGTACCGGTAGTTTAGTAAGTCGCGCCAGTTCTGTGGGCTACCCCCGGGACGGACTAGGTCTCCTTATCCGGAAAGATATGGCGTCGTCCGGTTGTGATGCCGAGCGTGGATTGGACAAAAAGAAGTCTAAGTTTTCAAATCAACGGCGACGGAGGATGCCAACGAACGATGAGGTATCACGACCGTGCGATCTGCGACGATGTGGATGAGCGATGAGTGGTGATGTAGCAATCGCTTCTCTGTGCTGCGCGAGAGGGCAACGTAGCTAACGTCAAATCCTATCTCAACAAACGCGTCAACATCAACTGCACGGACGACGTACGTTGGATCTCTCGAATTAAATTGTTTTACGTGCATACTTTGGAGTAGCATCTTCAGACGTCATTACACTTAGCTGCTTGCAATGGTCGATTGGACGTCGTCCGCCTCTTGCTTGAAAAGGCGCCAAGTTGGAAGCACTTGATAAGGTATGCTATGTGCATCAACTATACAGCCTTTTTTATATTGCTTCAATGGATGCAACTGCTGTGTAGAGCGGCTGGACGCCACTATACCGAGCTGCTGACGAATGTCAAGTAGACGCCGCACGCCTCTTACTTAAAAAGGCGCCAATGTGGAGGCATGTGACAAGGTATGGTTTTGTATCCAGCTTGGAGCTTGATTTATCTTGCTTAAATGCATCCAACTGCCGTGTAGAATGGCCGAACGTTATTGTACCAGGCTGTTGCCAATGGTCAAGTGGGCTTTGCCTGCCTCTTGCTTGAAAAAGGCGCCAATGCGGAAGCGCGCGACAAGGTATGATTCACTTTTTATGGTATTTGAGTGCAAATTGACGTAGAATGGCGCAACACCACTGCACCATGCCACAACATGCAATATGCCAGAAATGGTCTCGCTTCTCTTGGAAAAAGGCGCCGACATCGACGCCAAAAACAACGTACGTACACGCTCCACTCTCGATGCCAGTATACCGTTGGCACCTACAAGAGATCAACCATGAACGTATCATTCGTTTTCTAGGCCGCCCAGACCCTGCTTCAGATCGCAACAGCAAGGAATTCTAATGGTCCAGTCGCTCAAGTTTTGCGCCACTATCCTCGGATGCTAGACCAGGTATAGGGTAGATCAAAATGACGTACCGCTGCCGCGTCTGCATACTATCTCTATATCGTAGCTTTTTGACGCATTGCGCGAAGAGCGCTTTCAGGACGCCATGTGCATTCTTCAGGACAACCTTATCCACGTCAACCTGCGCGACAGCGTATGGATCTCCTTCAAACAAGTTGTTCTTGATGATGGATATGATCCATATGACTGTAGTCTCAAACGCCGTTGCTGCACCTGGTCGTGGCTACGCAGGATCTGACGCTGCTCCAAACGCTGCTTCAAAAACCTGACCTCCAGATCGATGCCAAAGACTCGGTATTTCCGTTAATCGTCTTGTCGTCCGACATTCTCACATTATTTGTGACGAAATAGATGGATCGCACGGCTCTCGCCGTCGCCATCACCACTGGCACCGCTGAGTCCGTTCGGGTGCTGTACCAAGCAGGCGCGTCCCTCGATTTCGTGGACAAGGCAGGATATTGACTTTCGTTTTGTTGAGAAACTTGACGATGTATTACAGACTCCTGCCTCCGCCTGCCTAAATCAAGTCCCTCAACCGAGTACACACAACGAAGAAAGTCCGACAAATTTATTTAGCATAGTTTTATCTATTGTAATAGAGGACCCAATTCAACAACAACGATGTATTACAGAATCTCCGCGCTTCAACGCCTGTCTTTGCCACTGCTTTGCGCCAAGCAGCCTCCACCAACGATGACAAAACGGTGGCTCGACTACTGCGTCTGGGCGTAAGCAGCTCACTGGCCAACGAGGTATGTATAATTTTGAATGTGGAGAAAGTCAAAAGCATTTTGTTTTGATCTAGAAAGGCGAGACGGCGTGGCATGTGGCGGCTGCCCACGGCCACACGTCTATCCTCACGAAGTTGCTGCAAGTGACCACGAACGAGAACGGCATCGACATCGCCAACCACGTACGAACACTCTCCTTGGTTTCGATTGTTTGATTTTGAACTTGTGTAGAATGGGGAATCACCCCTTTTTGTCGCTGCGACCGGTGGCCACGCCGATGTTGTCCAATGTCTCCTTCGTGGCAACGCCAACCCCCGTGTCATTTCCTACGTACTACCTTTAGATGATTCGCAATCAAAAGGGTCATCGCCATGTTACTAGGATCGATCGACGCTGCTGCACGCGGCCGCAATGGGTGGTAGCATGAGCGTCCTCTATCAAATCGTCCAGTGTGGCGTCAGCATCGAAGCGTGTGATGCGGTAGACAATATTGTCTGTGATCCAGTCCAACTCCTATCTCGTTTAAACTAGATGGGACAGACACCGCTCCACATTGCGTCCGAGAAGGCCCACGACAGTGTGGTCAAGTACCTTTTGGACGTCGACGCCAATGGCTTTGCCAAAGACAAGGTCTCACCATCTCAACACACCTCATAGCTCTACGATGACGTGATTTCTAGACGGGCAAAACGCCGTTGATGCTGGCGACCCACCCCTCGTCATCAACACCCTGCTACAGGCAGAAAAGTCGACCAAGCATAAGGTAGTCGGCATGATCCAACGCATTCTTCTGCAAGTATGAACGTCGTAGGTCCCTCAGCTCTCCGAGACCGTGCTAAACATCATCATCGCGCGTGTCTGCGACTCGGAGGCGATGCTACGCAAACTCGTCCAGCGGATTTGCGACCGCCTCGACGTCGGTCACGAAGCTTTGCAGGTAATACGAGTGCTGCATGTCACAAGTCCATTTCTACGATGCAGGCCTCGGTGGATCGACTCGAGGGCACACGCAGCGCCAACGTACATTTCTATTTTGGACCATACACGTCCATCCATCCATATGTATGGTGTAGGTGCGTGTCCAAGCTGTCTGCAAGAATGACGCTAGCCACGAGCTGCTGGCTGACGAGTGTCCATTCAACACTGCGAACGAGGTAAATGCGTTGACTTGTTGCTGAGCATCCAAGCGACGCTGGAACGGTCGGTGTAGGCGGGCGGCGCACCTCTGCATCTCGCAGTGCAAGCCAACGACCACAAGAAATTGGCGGCGCTTCTGCGATCGCCCGGCATCAGCGTCGACGTCCGCAATGCGGTACAGCAATACATCGGTCGACGGTACAGATGACAATGACAATATTGTTGCTATTTAGGCGGGCGTGACGCCGGTGATTTGGGCCATCCAGATGGGCCACCGGCGCCTTGCCGCGATGCTCCTGAACCGTGTCATCCCCAGCGTACACATCAGTTTACTAGAGTCGATCGTTGTCCAAGATGGACGTCGTTAGGTGCCAGCGACGGACATCGAGATGGACGAATCTAGTCCAATCTATGGTGCGGTGTACAAGGGCACCTACAAGGGCCGTGTCGCCGCCATCAAAACGCCTGTCGACGAATCCTCCGCCCTAGCAATCATCCATGAGATGGAGACCATGCAGCAGTCGATCACCTTGATCTCGTGCAAGAATCTCAACGTCGATGGCTGTAGGTGCAACTCGCCGTACATACAGCAGCTGCTCGCCGTCTCGGATGTCAACTCGACCAGCCCCAAGCTCGCGCTCGAGTACATGGACGGCGGTGACTTGCGCAGCTACCTCGACGCCAAGCGACTCGGTCAACCCACCAAGGTCGACGTCTCACCATTGGAAGTCGCATGGGTGCTGGCGAATGCGCTCGCTGATCTGCATCACAACGGCGTCTTCCACCACGACCTCGAGAGCTACAACGTCCTTCTCTCCTCGACCAACTACATTAAAGTCGCGAACCTCGGTTGCGGCCTCGAGTCGGACGCAACGACGGGCAAGAGCACACCGTACTGGACAGCGCCCGAAGTGCTAGCATCGACGAGCAACTACAGCTTTGCGTCCGATATCTACTCGTTCGGCGTCATTTTAACCGAGCTGGAGACGCTTCAGATGCCCTATCACGACGCCAAGGGCCTTGGGTACTGGGGTATCATCGACGGCGTGCGTCTCGGCAAACTCCGCCCGACGGTGAGCGCCAACTGTCCGCAGTGGTTGCGTGACCTGGCCGACGCCTGCCTGTCCTTTAACCCGACGCAGCGTCCGTCGGCGCCGATGATTGTCGAGTCGCTTCAGAAGCTGCTCGGCCGCAGCGAAGCGGAGCTTTCAGCACTTCCCGTGCAGGCGCCGACGACCGAGTTAGCTGAGCCGCGTGCTGTGAGTAGCCCAGGGGTACGTATCGCTCTCTGAAAGAGTCTCAGTTGGATGAACTAATACTACCTTTTAGTCCATCATGTCGGACAAGAGCCCAGAGCCTTCGATCGAGCAACTGACGAGCGTCATGTCTATCGACGCCGATGAAGAGGAGGCTGTCGTTTCGCCCGCGTCCTCCATTGCACCTCTAGCATCACTGAGCACGGCGGTGAGACCATCGACTAGACGAAGCCTCTCGACAGCCTTACCTACTGCCATCGTAGACGCAGTCGTCCCCCTCGATGCTCGTGAGCACGCAGTTCATGTGCCAACTCTGTTGCACAGCCAACTCGCTTCTCCAGTCGCACTGCAAGTCGTGTACCGAAGAGCTCGCTTCCGCTCCGGCCAAGCTCGAGGTCCTTCTGAAGCGCATGGCTGTTGCCAAGAAGGAAGGGTGGGAGATCTACGAAGGTCTTGTCTGCGTCTGCTGCGGCGCGCCGCAATCGATGGAAGCGACAGTTTGTAGCGAATGCAGCGAATCGCTTCCCAACGACCAAGCAAAACTCAGCATCCTTCTGCGACGCATCGAGAAAACGGTCAAGTCGACGGCGTAGCTCTTCGTGCTCGACCTACAATGTGTACTAGTACAGCAACACCAGTGCATTCTACCAACTCGTATCTATAAAAACTATATTGCATACAAAGAGTCGACGCATTCTTGGCAGTGGACAGAGATGCAATCGAGCATTCTATCTCGATTGTCGTTGCCATGAGTTCTTTAAAGACTTAACACAGCAGTACTGGCTGCAAGCTCAACGCAGGAGGCTTGTCGCATCCGCGCTCGAAAGTATTAGACAGCGTCGTGCGTGGGAATGCTGCCGCCGGCGCCTTGTCCGAAGTACGTTGTTGTTGAATTGGGTCCTCTATTACAATAGATAAAACTATGCTAAATAAAATTGTCGGACTTTCTT